ACGGAGCCATCTGCATTGCTTTTGAAATGTAAGTCATGGTCACAAACTTTTCAAAGTTTTCGGTTAAAAGCAATTGTAATGTTCATTCCTTAAACTTAGTAAATAAAATGTGGTGGGATTTTAGGGCTACATTGTAAATGGTTACCTTACCAGTAGGTATATGAGAACTATATGGATATTATTTCATTCGTATTACACTTGGTGACAACTTTGCTTAGCAGTACCATGGAAGCTACAGAACCAAAACATATGCCCAACATCGTGCAAAAAAAAGGGAAAAAGTAAGGTACCTAAATTTACTGATAATATTCTGATTTGCCTTGCTGAAATAAATACTGCTTTAGTTATAATGAGACTACATAACAACAGTTGCGGGAAGTCATGGGTCCCTCAGTTATCATTCATTTTGCAAGAATGCCTCCCTTTTCAATCATTTTCCCAGACACACCACCTCTTCAGCCCACCCATCAAGTAAACATGACGTCCGTAACGTGAATCCATCAGTGTTCAGCCACAAATGCAATGTTTAGTTGTTTAAATGTACTCTGAACAATCAAAATGTGTCTCCTATGCACACTTTTTCTGCATGTTTTTTTTTTTATGTTTTAACGATGCAAGCGAGCAAAAGTGAAATCAGGCTCGGGCTACCGTACTATTTGTGGAGCAACACGAATGTGCGAAAGCCCCGCCTCCGTGGTTTCCGCTCCACTGCCATGATAAGTTGTCACCGAGTATGGAATCTGAGTCATCACTGCTCGATTAATATTTAACTTGAATTTAAATTCACCATTCACACACTCTTTAACAAAGTTAAGCAGACCTGGTGACGGTGTTGGCAATGCTGTCGCTATGAGTGAGGCAAAGCCTAGCGAGCCTGGTCTGTGATCGCACTGCCTGAGCATAATAGAACTGCTTTGCCATACTCAGTACTAGCATGTTAACAGGCAGCAAACAGCTATAGAAGGAGTACTATTTATATACTGTCAAATGCCTTTGAAACCAAACGCTTTGAATTTTTAATATCCATCACTATACAGGTCATTTTGTAGAGATTACAAACCATACCATTCAGGTCCTAAAGGGACACTAAAAGCAAATATTAAGTCTATGTGTAATGTTTAAATAGCATTCCAGAAACCTTTCAGTGCTTGTTCTGGACAAAAAAAAATGATTAGTCTGCAATATAATAGAATTATTCAAATCTGCATACTGTTAACACAATTCAAACTGCTCAACTCCAAGTACAGCTTTCCAACATAGCATTTACTTTACCAGCACTGCCCGACAGCTGGAGCTGTAGTGTAGTGGAGTGAGTCAATTTAGTGGACAAAGCCCAGGGAAAAGGAAATTTATGTCGGCCTCAAGAAAATTGCCAAATTCTTTTTTGCATGTATCAAACTGAAATGCACAAGCTGTATTCTATTAAGTCTTGTAATGCAATTAAAAGTTATTTTTTTGTCATAGGTAGTTTGAGTACTTATGATAAATTGTACTGATGCCCTTCCCCCTCAATTGCCCTTTTGGTGAAGAATGGGCAGTCGTATACTACTTTTACCTTAATTTCTAAATTACCAACACACCCCTGTGCAAAATATTGACATTTTCAACCTTCTCAAGCAGCGACCTTTCACACTGGCATAAACCTTTATTTGCCAATAGTGTCTCTAAGTAACATGAATTTGTATGGGTTACTGAAGACACTAACATCCAACAAACTTCATATGATGGCATGTGCAACTGCAGCCATGGCATCAAGGTTCATGGCATGTTGCACTGCAAAATCCATGGACAAAAGAAGCAACAACTGTAGGCTGCAAAATGCCACTTTCGCATCCTTGTCATGAAGATTCGCAGCTCATCTCCAGGCACATCATCAATGCCGTTTAAGTTTTGAACCTTTACCTCCTGGACCTCCTTGAATACTTTGAACAATGTCATCAGTAGTCAGTCCTTAACAGTGATTACATTGTCATCAGCCGTGAAATATTTTCTGAAAAGTCATATGCAGTGCTTGTTTTGCCACAAGCTGCATTGGAACCGAGTAGTAGCTTCTGGAGCTGTGAAACAAAACTGAAACTGCGGCTGTCATGCATGCACTTTTCCAGTATTCTAGCAATAATATAGCGAAAGAGGGGTAGGAGAGGGGGTCACAGATCCTCCCAAATCGTTTAATTTTGAACGTGTACACACACACACACACACACACAAATACATGCACAAACACAGATGAAGTATGGTTGAGCCTACACCCCCCCCCCCCCCCCCCAGAAAAAAAGAATTCTAACTACGCGACTGGATGCTAGCACTGTGCTTATTAGGAAAGCGACAGCACAAATTACTCCCGTCCCGGATCCAGTAAGGCCCTGTCACTTGCGCTTCTGTATACTGTCCTGGCCACAGCGAGTGTAAATGCACTGGTGACATTGCAACTTTGTTTTTGAAGCCACTTGCGATTGCACAGATGATATAAAATGTTTCGCTGAGAGACATCTTCTGGCACTTCGATGCTCTAATACTGTTTGGTTTACCGAAACAGCACCATAGTGTTGCAGCAAACAACGCCCCAAACCCAGTAAGGAATACAGTGAAAGTTTCTAAAACGCACTACAGCCTACATAGGTCAACTGCCATGAAGATGCAGGCACATGCACAGTGCACAGCAATGACAATGTAAAGTGTGCCCTTGCGCATGCTAGCTAACCGTTATGCCAACAATGTCTTCCAACATTGCCCTGAACTCTCTACGTGCACCACATCCAGAAGATGATGAAATAGGACAGCATCACAGCTACATACATTCCTTGGAAAGCAACAAATCAATGCTTGCGTATGGCTCAATTCATTCTGTTGGTCTTCACTGTTAAAGCACTCTCATACACATGAAAGAATCGACCAGAACATGTCCTTGGACATACGGGACATTTCAGTCTTGATGCGTTCACAGTACAGTAGACTATCAGTAAACGGAACCTGAAGGGACCGGGAAAATATGTTTCATTTAACAGGAGTTTCGTTTACTGAGAGGTGAACATGAGTGCTGAATACAAGCTCGAAACCAAGCATAGCCGAGGCAAAAGTTCCGTTTAAGCAGTAGTTCCGTTTAACAGATTTCCGTTTATTGAGAGTCTACTGTAAATGCATTTGGCTGTATCTGTGCAAGTAGCCTTCAATAGTAATGGTGTGCATACTCTGATAAGGCCAAGACAGAAGACATACCGGCTAAACTGACCAGCAACTATCAACAGCTCCTCTGTTGCCATGTCGGGCAGTCGAGGCAACATGTTTGATGGTTTATAATGACATAGGTGAGCTTGTTGGTGAGTATTCCTTCTATAAGATAAGCATGCCAAAACACTGACACAATGATGAAGTCAAGGCCCCACAAACGCTAGTGTTTGTAGTGTCTCGACTTCATTCTCGCGTACGTGTTTGCACGCCATGCCTTTTAAAATGTGCACTGGGCTGTGCGACAAGTTAAAGCTACACATACCTGCAACTTCATCCGTCACAAAATTTCGAGTAAACCCTTAGTTCAGTTAGATAAAATGAAAACATCTCCAAACAAATTTTATGTCCCACTCTAACTGCAAATAATACAAATTTCATTTTTTTTAACTACAAAATTAGTTAATCTCCTTGAGGCATCAGTCTCCCAGAAATCAGCCAGTGACTGTTAAAGGGTGTACAACACCTTTTGAACATGCTGAAAATGCTGCCAATCAGCAATAAAGGCTCCTGTAAACATGCTAGCTAAATATTATAGCACTAAACGCAGAAAGAAATTGACTATTTTATTTCAAAGACAGCCAAATATTGCTCTCCCTCCTTTCAGCAAACTGCGTACATACTCGAAGGAAAGAACTGGGCCAACGACTGATTTTATGATCACGAAAACATCCTCAGCAGTACTTCTATTGTCCACTTTGAGTTCAACAAGTAAAAATTATATAGCATGTCTCTATCTTCAAAGCACTGAAAATAACACCCAGAAAAGTATCTTATTTTTATACTTCCAACCTCAGTGAACAGCCATCTGCTTGATGTTTAGCTTTCACCATGTTCCAGGTGAGACAGTACTAGCAAACACCACCTACATGAGTCAGTCACTCGCCTGCTAGTAAGCCTGCTACCATAGTTCTCATCGTTGCACATCATTGTTCCTAAAATCACCCTTACATATGCCAGTGCACACTTGCTCTCTTGTACATTCTCTATGAGTAGACACCTTGACAGGCATCACTTGGTGTTTAGCCATTTGAAACCACTTTCAAAATGCTCTAACTGTATTCAGCTGCTATCCTTTGCTCAAACTGACACAAGACACAACCAGTGCGAACCAGGTTCTAACGAAGCTCAGCCAGACTTTAGCATGGCAGTCATGCTGAAGGCCATGACAACGTCGACATGCTTTCTAACTCCTTGTCATCACTCCCTATGTAGGCTAGCTACCAGTGCACTTGTCGGGAGGAAAGAAGAAAGGAAGTAGCATTCTGATCCTGAGACAAATCCATGAGACCCAGGTTATACTTGACAGATTCAAAACATTTCAATGGCAAGAGATTCAAGAGTCAATGAACTCCAAAAGCTTGACCATTCAATGACTCTGTGATAAGGTGTTGCAGAGTTGCTTGATATTGCTGCTAAACTGATGCCTCAAACTCCGAAACTGTCGAACTAATCTTGATATGCAATTGCAAAGGGCTGCAAATTAGAGCATGCAACAGCGTACCACATTCCATCTCATTTTGACATACCAATTTGACAGAGGCTGACACGTTAGAACAGAAATAGGATGGTGGTTTTATGTAGACTACATCCCAGTTTGAGGAGCGCTGATGCAAGCAGACTTCAATTTGTTGCAAGTATTCCTATGCAATGATGCAGTATCTGTAATAAGTCCCATTATCATGACCACTAACTACGATGAAGTGAAACTTGGGGCTCTCTGATCTTAAAACAGCTGAAACTTTGAAAGAGAGTGAGAAGATGATATTACATACCTGCTGCCTCCTGCACAGCCTTGTTGGTTCTTCTCTTGGGAGTTGGAACACGAGGCTGGGCAAAGTTCTCTTTGTCACTTTCATCCACATCCATTGGAACGGTGGACTGTTCTTCGGCAGCTGATGCTTCTTGATCACGAGTGCAAGGATCGTTGTCAATACTTCGCAACGGGGGACTGCCCAGAGACAACAGCTGGGCATTGTCCAACCCATTCTCCAAGGAGTTGCGCATAGGTGACGTGAGTGATGAGCTCTTTACAGGTTGGTCCAGGGTTAACTTGCGTGAGCATGACATCTGCAGCATGAAGGTGCACACCTTATTTGATTTTGCTCAAGCAAACCATCTAGACTCCATTTACAATTGTACAAAATCATTACCCACTATGTACTTGAATGTATAGTAAAGGTATACCACCACAACGTTTATCAAATATAGACATCAAAGACAAGCTCACATACCTTTAAATTTCAACTGCTAGCAAGATTTACCCGCAACATTTACCAAGCCAGAAAAACCACTACCCTAACTAACGTTGTGACAATAAGTGGGCAAGGTAAGTATGCCTGGTGCAGGATCGAGCGCATCATATTTGATGGGCACACTGCATTGATAGCTACACCAAATTTTTTAGCCGACCTCAGAATCGTCTATCAAAGACCACTTAAGTGGCTTTAATGTCATGCTGGAGACATGCTACCAAGAGGTGTTGTACTCAAGTTACACTACCTTATTTAATGCTTGTCACAAATCTTTCTCCTGTGTCACCATGAAATACATACCACTCATGCTAATGAGCTAAACTTGAGGATTTCAATTTCCACAAAACAGTTTTAATGCTCGCATTCATTCCCTTTCCATCATATGGCACGTATCAGCTTGAAATCCTTCTTCACCTGTTTCTTCTTTACCATGAATATTCGATAATTATGAAACCAGTTCAAAGCAGTTTGGAAGCACCAAAATATTTAACTTGCTGCCTCTATTAATTTTATTAACACACATTTTTTCTTTGTAAATGCTGCCCGATGCCCCACATTTATCAGCATCCTTTCAGTTGAACGAAACTTATTTATGATGTCTTTCGTATAATAGTCCTTTTAGTGTCTGTATTATCTCTGTGCTACACTCCAGCTAAGATTAATCATTCTTTTTCTAGCAGTTTCACTGATTACCAACATACAGTAGACTCTCATTGAACAGAAATCTCTTGCGCAGAACTACTTCTTGAACAGAACAACTACCTTCGATATGATTGGATTCATACCTGAATACTGAAACCCTGTTCATCTTTCAATATACGAAACTCCTGTTAAACAGAACTTATTTGGCCAGTCCCTTGAGGTACCATTTAATGAGAGTCTACAGTACTTCAGCTATTACCTACTGCAGCACATTCTACAGTGTACCCCCACTCTATTCCTTCCTTCCAATGCAATTTTAAGTTATTTTGCAGCAATTGTTTCAAGCTTCTTGGAGATTGCTAAATACGTTCACATTAAGAGAAATTCACTCAATCCAACTTTTCAGCCACAAGTTTGGCTCATTTCCAGCAAACTCTACAAATAAATAAAGTCTACATGATGCAAACCACTAATTCGCATGAACGTCATTCTCCGCTGCTGAGACCCGCTACTCAACTGACTAAGAGGTCTAGATGAGAAGATTTTATATAATGCTTCCCTCCTGTGCATGCTAGCATCTCTTCCACCTCATTGTTGGCACTGGAAAACTGCTGGTCAGACCTCACAAAAACAGAAATAAGGGAGGTCCTCAACCTTTTTTTCCAGTAAACAAGCGTGCCAGAACCTGGTGCGTAGCCAAAATTTTTTTTGGGGGGGGGGGGGGGGGGGGGGGCACCCCCTCAAAATGGCCATTTTTTCACTGTCTATGCCATGGCGAAAAAACTTCGGGGGGGGGGGGGGGGGGGGGGGCACATGACTGGTGTCCCACCCCCTGGCGACGACCCTGGCCAGAACACAACAGAGCAGCCATATGAAATGGCTCGCACATGAAATAGCTGACAACAATGACTTGAACCACTTTCTGTAAAGATGCCTTTTTCTACAACATTTCATGCCCATATCACGCTTTGTCAGAGGTGAGGCTGTCACTTGCCCACGTTATCAATGGCCCTGAATGGTTGATGTAATAAGGGCACTAAAGAGAAAAACTATTTTTCTTGTGTTAGTAAATTACTTTTTCACAATACCAAAATCACCCCGCTCGCCTCAAGAAGATACTTGATAAGCCAGAAAACATGCAAAAGAAAGCTACTCCCCCCCCCCCCCCAATGCCTCTCAGTACCCCCTCCCTCTCTCTTCAGTGCTTGCCATCCACCTGCTAACACCAGTTAGGACAAATGAGTGGGACCACTGTGAGCACACAGTAACAGTTTTTATGCCATTACAGAGTTTTCGTGCGAGTAAAAACAAAAAAGTAATGACCACGCCCACTTTCCGCTAATATTTTAAGCGACCACCCCTTTTAAAATGGGTGGCTGGATCCGCCCCTGCCAAAATATGAATAAAACATTTCGAAATCCAGGATGCCACGAGCGGGGTTTTGGGTGCGAAATTCAGAAATGAAATGTTCACCTTCATTTTCCTTGCCAATAATAAACTTATGGTGGTAAATTTAATGACATTTAGAGTTCTCAGAGAGCACTATCAATCTCAACCGATTTATTGTTTTAGTTTAGTGTCCCTTTGAACAGATGCTAAAAAGAAAAATAATTGTCCTTTCACTGGTAATTTACTCATCCACGGTACCAAAACACGACGCTTACTACGAGAAGATGCTCAGTAAGCAAGAAAACACAAAAAGAAATTGCAGTGGCAATGCCACTATGAAGGTCATGCAAGGGCCATCATGATGTAATATGGAGCCTTCGCAGCTCCTAATCGTAGAAACGAAGTAAATCGTCTTCAAAGAGAGCCAGACTTGATATATGAGGTTTCAGGAAATGTCCCTAAGCCAGAGTGGCCAAAATACAACAAGTCCTTTGAAATCTGTGATGTCGCCATAAGACATTTAGGCCGGAAATTTAAACAAAATACTTTTTGACACTGATTTTTCTTACTTATTAAACCTTTCCCTAGTGAGTTTTTCCACCAGAAACTTCACAAAAGTACCAATGTTTTTTTTTAAATATTTGCCAATTTGATTGAACATGTCTTGAAACAACTCAAGAAGTTATTTGAAAGTGCTTTAGTAGCAAAATACAAAGAAAATTACATTTTTTATTATTCAAATGACTGGCTTCAATGCAATACACCACGGGAAGTGGCCTATCGTTTCCAGTTTTGAATGCAAAGAATGTCTCTAGCAGTAAAAAACAAAGTGCAGGGACAAGAGACAGACAATTAACTTTATTATGATCCCGATGGGCAACTCAGAAAGCCCATGGAAAAAAAAGTCTGGGAAGCACCAGTGGGGTTTTCTTAACATCTATCGGCATCCACTGGCATGTCAAAACGCAGTTGTCCAAATCCAATGCTTTAGAGAAAATATGTTGCCTTTTGTAATCACTGCCACACTTGCAGAATGAAAATTCCTTTTCATTCCATAAAACTTAAACAAAGTTTTTTTTTTTTTTTTTCTGAACGGAGTTGTTGCCAGTACGCTCACACCGCTAATAGTCCTTCCTCAACCAGAATACGTGCTTTGAGCACTTTTAAAAATTTTTTACAATGCCATTAGTTCAAGCCAATGTGAACTGCACAAAATTTATAGTGGTAGGTAGAGTTACTGTACATGGCTCCTTTAGGAGCCATATACCATAGGAGCCTCGGCTCTACCGAAAGGTAGCATATACAGCAACTCTAATGGTAGGCAAACTGTGACTCCCCCAGATGCTTGTTTAATGATGGACGAAACCAGCTCATCTTTGGTAGTAGCAGTAAAAGCCATGTGAACGAGCTCAGCTTTTTTTAGTAGGGAAGCATAAACAAACCTATGGTGGTGAAATTACCGATACCAGAGTTTTCAGAGCATAATTTATCAGTATAAAAACGAACTGCTTCACTTTAGCATCCCTTTTCAGAGTGGCATAGAATAGCAAAAAGCACTGCTACAAAAATGCAGCCACAAATACTTTTGGAACACTTTTTTTTCCCCCAAATCCTTCATTTGCAAACTTGGTCTAAAGCCAGATTTTTTTTAACAGAACACAGATTAGCGCAGAACCTGCTAGCAACATTTAGTCAACTTCTACCATACCTTTTCCTTGGGATGGTAGTCCGGAAAATCAAGCCTCAGTACCTTGCCGTGACTCTTCTTTAAGACGAGGAGAAGGTAAGTAGCAGTCATGTAGTCGTACCGCCACTGAAAAATAAAAAAAATATAATTTGAACGGGTACAAAAGAACTACAACAGTGCAGGCCATGCAACTCCTGGCAGAATCCACAGGCTTAACAGGGTGCACATGTGGCTTGCACCCCTACAATGAAAACCACACACAACAGACCCTTTTCATCATTCTCAAGTGCACTTCCCTGTAAGGCATATTTGCCCAACTAATGACGACACCTGCCGCACATCAAGTAGAAATGAGGTCGTCGTGGCAAGCAAAGGGTCTCGTCTAATAAGCATGTTCATGTCAAGAGAGCAGAGTCTACATTTTTCATGTCACAGAACAAACAGATTGCTTTCATACATGCTATTCGCAGTAAGTGACTACCAGCCATTAGTTGGGCAAACTGCATAGAAGTAAAGCTAGCTTTACAATTATGAAAAGGGTCTGTACGTTCAATGACTACTACACAAATTCTGAACACTTCTGACATAAATTTATCTTTTGCTTAGTTTAGCCCTACTTGCGGCCCATGTGACCTGCCAGTTCTTTTTACATATATTGGAAAGGCACTTAGGTTCGCTAGCAGTATTATGCATCATCTCACTAACACTACCCCTCACTAGTCACCTAAACAGAAAAAAAAAATCTAAACAAAAATGTTTATTGACTCACATGTGGGGTTTAACGTCCCAAAACCACCATATGATTATGAGAGACACTGCAGTGAAGAGCTCTAGAAATTTTGACCACCTGGGGTTCTCTAACGTGCACCCAAATAAGCACACAGGCCTACAGAATTTTCGCCTCCATAGAAAATGCAGCCGCCATAGCCAGGATTCGATCCCACGACCTGCGGGTCAGCAACCTTAGGCACAGGACTACCGCGACGAGGTAAACAAAAAAAAAGTAATTAAAGGAGCCCTGCAACACACTTTTGAGTAGCCATCGAATGGATTCCCTATAGGAGCTTATAGCCTCACGAAATCATCGCCACAAATATTTTCAGAATCCATCCAGTACAAGCGGAGTGACAAAAGATTAGTCGCATACTGCAATCGTATTCTCTCTTCTCTCATCTCGATGAAAACACTGGAAGCTAAGCAGGGAGAGATGATGGCCCGGGAGGAAAAAAAATGCGGCATACACGCCTCGTGGCCTGCTCTTTTCTCTAGATTCATTTTTTCTTTGAATGCACGCCTTTTCAGTGCGATCATGCGGGCATGCGTAACAATCGAGCGCACCATGCTCAAATCAGCCAATGGCTCATGCTAGACCTGGGACGTAGTGGTTTTGAACTTGTAGTGTAATTTGTCAACAGAAGTGAAAGCGATGTTTAGCTGACTGAGAATTTATCATAAATTCCAGGCCTTGTGCTGCACCTTAATATTTGGTACCCAAGTTCTCAGAAGCCTGGACTACTGGTCAGCAGTGTTTTCTGACCATGCCCAAAAAGTGTTGCAGGGCGTCTCTGAGTCTCCATAATATTCTCAGCGGGGTGCTTCTTATTATAATTATTCAAGAGCTGCCATGCACAGAAATTAAGATGGAGATACAGTTGAACCACCTTATAGGAGGCATGCTCTAGGCAGCAATTCTCGTATTTTATATATGAGATGTCACTTATAATCAGGGTACCACATATGCATTTTCCTATCAACCCGCACTTTACTGTAGGTACACTGATGTCTCTTATACCTATTTGTCTCTTATATCAGTGTCTTTTATAAAGGGGTTCGATTAGGACAGTATATGGGCCATGCTGTATTTCATGTGAAAATACAGCATGGGCCATGCTGTATTTCATGCTGTATTTCGTTCATTACCAAAAAGAAAGTTTCTTAACCTTCTTTTTTGAATTTCAGTCTTGTACCGACCACCCAAAACAGAGGGCTTTGAGCACATTTTGCAAATTCCTCTGAATAAGCATTTTTGTTTGCCCCCAAAGAATATTTAGTGCTATAGTACCAGATATTAATTCCAACTTAATTAAAGGTATCCTGAAAAGCTTGTTGAGCATGGTCTGAAAGCACTGCCAATTGGTAGTCGAGGCTCCCGAGAACAGGCGAGCAAAATATTATAGCGCAGCACGCGGCCTGGAATTTACAATAAATTTTCAGCTTCAGCTAAAGCATCACTTCTCTCGACAAATGACGCTACAAAACCAAAAAAAACCTGCGTCACAGGTCAAGTATCAGCCATTGGCTGATTTGAGCATGGCACGCTCAGTTGTTACTGGGGGCTGCTGCGACAGGCCGCAACTTGTCCACGCTAGCACGCGATCACACTGAAAAAACACGCATTCGAAGAAGAAAAAAAAACTGCTCAAGGTCAGGAAGCGTGCACGACATATTTTCTTTCCCCATGCTGTCCCTCCTTGCTTAGCTTCTAGTGCTTTCATTGAGACGAGCGAAGAGAGAATCCAATTGGAGCATGTAACAAATCTTTGTAACTCTACTCGTACAGTACAGATTCAAAACATTAAACATTTTCCAGACGATGAATTCATGAAGCCATAAGCTCCCTAAGTGAATCCATTACAAGGCTACTTGAAAAAGCGTTCCAGGGTTCCTTTAAAAGCATGACTGCTACAATATTAGGAAGAAAAAAAAATAGTATCTGAACATTTCACAGCATTAAGCAACCCTCAAAACTTTTTTAGCACCTGTACCAAGCACAGCATTTAAATTTTACCCTCACTATAAGAAGAAATCTTCCAGAAGTGCATGAGTTTTGCTGTGTTGGTAAATTCACATCACTTTGAAACTTGTCCTTTATTATAAAATTCAATTCCTTTTTAAACTTTAATTCAGTGCTCTGACATATACTGATGCAATTTGGGAGAACACGTCACATCATTTTGCTTGGATGTGGAATTATAAAGTGAAAAATATGTCGAAATACATGCTGCTACCCCATGTGGGCTCAATGGCATGCTAGCTGACAGGTCCCTTTTTTTAACAACAAAAAAACACTCCACAATGGTTAGCTGAAGATGCCCCACACTTAATGTTCCTATTATGTATGAATGTAGTTACAAAACAGCAGTGAATCATCACATGACTTTAAGGGTTGGCTGCTGACAAAAAGCAGATAAGGCCTTAAGGTGTAGTTCTTGAGTGTAGCTTTAAGGAATCAAGTGAAAAGAAAGGGTCCAATAACAATCTTCTGAATCTACACTCAAAATACTAATACTGGAGTGTACAGCTTGATCAACAGTGCACAAGTGAGTACCGTATTTACTCGTGTAATGAACCCACCTTTGTTTTCAGAAAAATCGATGGAAATTTGGGGGGAGAGTTCATTATGCGAGAGAAAAAAAGTCATGGGAGGTATTACAGCAAAAATTTCACATGAAGGTTTTGCTAGTTTTGGCCAGCAATATGCATGACGAATCTTATTGGTAGCACGAAGCTCTTTTTCTTTTCTCCCCTAACGAACGCACACGGATCGACTATGACGTGTCGTCCAGCCGCTCGGTTCCCACGCTCCAGTGCATGCTCAACCAACTAAGTTTAAAACCAGACGTGTAGTTGGTGCACAGGCCAAACGCGTCCTGCACAGCAGGTGTCCAATTATGTTCTCTATGACAAACCCCACAATAAAAATGCAGCATCGAATGGCGGCGCACTAATTTCATGTGCGCCGCCAGGTGGGCGCGGCTGTGCTTTGCATGGCCTTCAAGATGGCGGGCGTGTGGCACGTTTCAACACCACGTGCACGCCATCTCAATGGCAACGCGCTTCATTTTATTGCCTTGTCTTCGTGCCGCTATGCTTGCGTGGCACCATAAGCAAAGAGGTTTCTCCTGCATTCGACAGACGACGCTCTGCTACAAAAGGCAGGACTTCTAAATTTTGATTGACGCCATCCACGTTCGCGCTGCTCGCAACTGCTTGGCATGATAGAAAACCTATGTTTTGACGTTTAATGTGTTGTTATTTTGTAATATAATGGCTTGATTTAACATTTTTTCGATCGTCAATGACACTGACTTTCACCCCAAAATAAAATAGACACATTATTATTTTTTTTTTTTTTGTTCAAGGACCAAGGTGGGGAGTGGGTTCATTGCGTGAGTAGATACAGTAAACGCCAAGCAAGAAACGAATTATCTATGCACTATTGTCAATAGAATAGAGGTTGCTTCCCCATGGTACCTGTTTTGTAGATTCTGCTCTTTTCTCCTATACCAGCTGAGCCTTTGCACTCTGACCAACAGCTTTGTGGAGCAACCACCCCAAAGATGTTGGCCACTCCAGCCTAAGCTTTTCTGCTGAAGCCAACTGCCTTGTACAGACTATTTTACCTAAAATGTAAGGGCACCACTATATTGGGCTCTAAAGTCAATGTTTTGTTCTTTTTGTCTCTTACGATATGAATTAATAAGGCCATGAAACATCATATAGATCAACTCAAAAATTTTCATGTGTATGTGTCTACTGTAACACTGTCAATTTAGTTGCAAACACAAAGGTTAACAGCCCAACATGGCGGCATTGAAACCGCTCAGTAAAATAATCTACTGATGCAGAGAAACTTGTAAGGTTTCCTGCTTAGCTTTATGCTACTATTAGTTGAACGATAAATTTCAGTCTTACCATTTTTTCTTCGCTTTGCAAATTTCTGCAGAACTTGCTTTTAAGGAATGCTTAATCGTACATTCTTTACTTCATTAATTCAAGGCATCGGCACTTGCAAGGCTTTCAAATCACTTTTATAAGCAATCATCGCATGATCTCAATATCAGGGTTCACTACCTTACCAATTTATTGCCACAATAATTTTTCAAATCCATCACAAACGAGCAGTTTGTCACACACTTTAAAGTGCTTTCACCCTTTTCGTCGTCATGCACTGAAACCTACATAAGGAGGTATGGCACAGGGGTAAGAAGTTGCAGCATCGTGCTTTTCCGTTGATTTCCATGCACACTAGGTAGTTTTACCAGACTATGGTGTGAGGTGCCAGCTCATAGCAACGCCCCACAGCCTGAAGGGTAGTTCATGATCCCTTTAACAAGTGTTTAGTGTTTATATCTATCAGTTCTTTTAAAAGGAAGATGCTGCTTTTAAATTCTTTACTTCTTGAAGATTAGATTCGCAAGTCGGTCAATGTCAAGCTGAGATTTCACTCATGAATGGTTGACATACCATAACTTTTGTTCAATGGGTTTAGAATAACCATTCTTATTGTACGGCACACAGTGATAATTCCAGATTATTACAATATGCTGATTTACTTTCTAACACTCTCAGCTTAGCAAAAACTTACTTCCAGTACACATGAAATACTATGTACTTCAAAAACTACACATTAGGCTATAAAAAGAATTTAACACCTGAACCACCACATAAAAATACATAACTCACCATTTTCATCAAAATCGATCAAGAAAAAAAATAAGTGCTCACCTCCCTTAAGCGCAATACCAGCCATCTCCTATTCCCCCCCCAAAAAAAGCTATGCACACCTACCCAATGTAAAGATACAAGGCTTCACGAACCTGCGAGAGTTCCACGACCACAGAGCTTTTGGAACGACCGCAACTAACGGCCAGCTCAGTAACGACTTCATCATCAAGAACAGACAGCTGGAAACAAAAACAAAAAACAAAGGCAATGAAATAGGAATTTAAGAACAAAGGATATAATACATGGTGTATAAGTCGTGGTTCAGTTGAAACACTCTCTGTGCATACGCTTACTCTCCTCACACCCCATTGATGATGGAGGAGAGTGAGCAAGACATATATAAAAAATCTCCTAAGGAAAGCAGCTGCTCCTCCAATGAAAAGAACCTCTTGCCTCTAAAGTTGGCTCCTATGCTATTTCTTGTCCTACAATTTCTCAGTAAAAGGGCTAAAAACTGCAAAAAGACAAAAATCTCCTTGTCTTGGTTTAGGTACATCTATACACAGTATACACACTCAAACAGCATGTCGTTGGAGCTTTGTTTCAGGCCAGCGCGAGATACATGAAAACGTCTTGGCGAACCATCTGGCTGCATCCTCTAACAAGTGCTCTGGCAATGCATCAATGGCTATCCCTGCCCTTCATTTAAAACCTTTCCTTTAAAGAAATTTCAGAGCTTATTGGCAGAGCACTGAACTTCCAGGCTTCCCTTTTTACCAAACTTCTATTTATTGCTTGTGTAGTTCTTCTGAATACTGTTGTAGCATTCTTGTCTACTCGTCAGCTTTTGACTGTCAGAGCATAATATGCACAACAGATAATAAAAAAAGAATAATAATATCTGGGGTTCAATGTCCCAGAACCACAATATGATTATGAGAGAAGCCGTAGTGAGGGGCTCCTAAGAATTTCGACCATCTGCTGTTCCTTAGCCTGTACTGACATCGCACAGTGCACGGGCTTCTACCATTTCACTTCCATCGAAATGCAGCCGCCGCCATCGGCATCAAACCGTGAGCATTGGGTCAGCAGCCAAGCCCCATAACCGCTAGCCCACCATGGCGGACAATAAAGAAGGATTAAGTAACTTCCATTTTCTAGATGTTTATTTTAGGCTTATGCTTAATGGACCTCACAACAGTGTATGTAACAGATGCTGGTTGGGTGGTACAAATAACTCTAAAATTGTAGCTGTTGGGTCATGTATGATGGATCCAGTGTTTGAATATTTGTAGTGCTTTGAAACCATATGCTATATAGGATGTCCTGTAACCTCTCTGGCAACGCAGAAGCTTTTCATCTTGAACATCAATCTTCTGCTGAAAATATGTAAAATGTTTTGTATCTCCTTTTGTGTACTATGCTTTTTCTATAAATATGGCTATATGAACATCACTGTTCTGATATGGTGGACAGTCAAAATTAATCTGGAACCCTTCCCAACAATTATTCCTTTTAGCACCAATATAGCTACATAACACTACATCTCATCAATCAACAATGCCTCAGTTCAGAGTTCACTGAGCCTAATAAAGTTCACAGACCAGACAAAGTAAAGATTGTTTTCATACAGAAAATGGGACAGCAGATCTTTGATTTCAAGGAAAGCTGTAGATGTTTTACATCCCAATAAAGACTGCCAAGGCCTGGAAAAAAAATGCACAAGCGGAAACAATGTGTGCTGTAAGGAAATCAAAATACTGCACGAAATTAATTTTTTTTTTTTCTGTTTTGTGTGAGGTAAGCGTAGCGTACACTTTCTGCTCATCTCTATAGGTCTGCAGCTAAATTACGTTCACAACAGCAGCGACCTGCTTTATCTGCTATTAGTTGCATAATTCATAGCACAACCACTCCTTGATGATTTGATTGATATGTGGGGTTTAACGTCCCAAAACCACCATATGATTATGAGAGACGCCGTAGTGGAGGGCTCCGGAAATTTCGACCACCTAGGGTTCTTAAACGTGCACCCAAATCTGAGCACACGAGCCTACAGCATTTCCGCCTCCATCGGAAATGCAGCCGTCGCAGCCGGGACTCGATCCATTTTCCAAATCAGTTTCAATTGTGTTACAATTTTGATGAGTATTTGATTAAAAAGGCTTGTGCTCTAAAATCTGCTCCCATACTTGAATTCGATATACGTACAGGTTTCTACTGCAAAAACAATTAATTGTTGTGCCTGCCGTAGCTGCAGAAATATTGAGGCCTCAAAATTGAATAGTCCTAAATTTACTTTTCCGAGAAAAATAGAAAAAACTGATAACACCCAGTTTCTTCGAAAAACACCAATCACGGTGCGCATGTTTAGCAATGCTCATAAAGGCGCTTATGAATTGGCAGTAAAGCTTCAGATACAGGTGCTGGCAAATTATAAAGAAGCCTCGAAGTAGGTTCCCCATTTTTTGTAGGTTCTGACTGTGCTAGCACCAAGAATCTGGACAGTCAGAATGACATCACAAAAAAAATTACTACTTTTTCGTGGATGAAAATTTACACAGAGATAGAAAAATACTTGCAGGAACCAAACATGCCAATTTCAGAAAATGCATCTTTTTTTTTGTCACTTTTCGGTCTCAAAGACCAGCTTGCCTCTTTAAAGTGTGTATTTAAAACTGCTAGTTTAAGTTACATTTGGCAACCAGTTAGCACCCTAGCTGCCACACTTCACTGGTAAATAGATATACAGCAAAACTGGAGAAAGCAAACCAGATTCTCACCAAGTATGTGCTCTTGGCACTGATTGGGCTCCCATATCCTTGGACGAGCCATGGGTGGCTGAGCAGTTCTGAGATTCCAATTCGTTTCTCGGGAATCACAGTCATCATGTCAGACAGTAGCTTGACGCTACTATCGGACAGCCACCGCGGACACTCGTATTGTCCTTGCTGGAAGTACACAGATCTCTTTGCAACAGCAAGAAAACGGCAAGGAAATGTCACTGGAAAGAGACTGCTACTTTGCAAAATATTACTGTATTCAAATAGCTTTGCGTCAAAGGACAGCTGCTTTGTTTCTCATTTCTAGCATTCCACCTTCAAGCACAGGTAGCTTCCGTGTGAATACATTTGTTTGATTGAGCTTCGTATTCAAATGAATGGCACTATACAAGAATATAATAGAGTAAACGTTAGTATATCACATTCTCAGAAAAAAATTTAAAAAAGGACGACAATGGAAAAACCAAATGAGAGTACAAGGAACTGCCTTGTGTAAACATCATAAATTTATAAGTGCATTACAAATGTCAAAATAATGCAACAGCCAAATTTAATGAGAAACTAGTGCTGCCTTTAATCAAACATTTTCTTTGTTTACACAGAGACACTAAGAAAATTAAAAGAGAAGCATCAAGCGAGCTTTTGCTTACCTGGATTTTTCTGTATAGAACTGCTACGTTCTCGTCATCAAATGGAAGACATCCGCACAGTAGGGCATACAACAGCACCCCCATGCTCCAGATATCAACCTTAAACAAATGAAGAAAAAACATCACAGATAGTCACACCAGAAAAAGCAGAAATCGGGAATAAATTGTTCAAACTGATTTATACCAGAGTATTGTGTAATGGATCAAAGAATAAAAAAAAAGAAGAGAAATACGCTGCTACAGCTTCCCACACACACTAGGAATTCCTTTAACAGGCATTGTTTGTAGATTGGTCAAGCAGAGAAGACAGCAGTCCAGAGGAAAGGTTTTGAAAAATATTCAAGCGTAGAACAGAAGCAGAGTGGCAAAGCATATTGCATAAGATGGGGAGACACAAAATGTGGATCTTGAAATGTTCCGTTGTTTTTGTTTTTTTTAAAGGTGCATCACAGTTCTAGTCAATGCAAATGTAAGCAACATGCTTTCACAGAAATCGAGTATAGCATAACAAGCTCTGAAGTGCCGCTGCATTGTTGGCTTGGTTAGCACAAATGATTGAATTAACAAAAAAATTCAATTTACTGAGACATAGTGCAAAATTTGGGTTTGCAAGCAGATGCTTTTTGTCCACGTGGCTTTCAGGTTTGATGATGTCATACCCGAAGCTTGAACACATTGATTTGTGTGGAAGCGGGCTCAAAAAGCATAAAAAGCAGAAATCCACTTGAACCTAACCAAAACAATGTCTACATCCTCGTTGAATTTTCATCTTCCTTTGACAACAAAACATCGGTGGATTATTTAATATTACTTAGGCTCCACTACTACTGACATCGACTCCTGCTTTTGCTTGTGGCTTCCCAATTTGATCACCATCTGATCCGTGAAGTTGTCAAACAACTGGATAGCAAAACTTTAGCCAGTGAGTGGACTTTTTTGCTTTCGACAGCATTTTTTCTGCATCGAATATGTAGCAACCTTTACTGAGCCAAAGAGCCACAGCTTGGTAGGAAACCGTAGCCAGTTTTTGGGCTGGCTTGCAAACTGCATCCCAAATATAATACATCGTGGAGGATAAGGACCATCCTCATAAAGGGCCGCTGATCTTGTTCCCTGCACATCCTGGGAGGATGGAGGTGGTACCTGCCAACCTCAACAAGTTGGCTCATGAGGCTACGCGAGGCAGTGGCCAGGCGGGAGCCCAGGTAGTGACATGGGGTAGTAGGACACCCTATGCACATACAGCGCGAGACTACTAAGCCCTTTTATCTGACATAGAGAGCTAATCCCCTTCTGTATCAGTGACTAAACTGTGCCCAGGCGCTCAGGCTCAGACTTGTAGACGGGGACATACCCAAAATTCCCATCTTCTGCATGTGATCAAACCCGATACCCATATGACTGACACCTGATGATGTTTGGTGCTACGTGGCGCAAGGGCCATTTGATGGCCAAAGAGCACCAGTTCATGGGACAAGAGATGTGGACAATGATTGTGATTAGCGGCTGTATAAGGGCCTTAAAATTCCTCGCCCTAAAGCAGGTAAAAACATGAATAATAAAATCATGACCATGCCATGAAAAGTGTGTGGTGTTAATGGATGCCAAAAGTTTGTGATAATAAAAACCATGTTGGACATGTATGGCATTAGCACAAGTGCCTCGATAGTTCACACCCTTGCATCCAAGGACCGTGAGGCAAGTGCTTTGTTGAGTGTAGCCACCACAGCGCAGGAGACCTCTCTGGAGAGGTCGTGCTACAGAATGCCCGGGTATATGATATGAAAAGTACGAACTTCTCTCAAAAAAGCTAACAACCATTCATGAGTGAAAAGTGGTTCCCTACCGACGAACATTGCAAGATAAAGTGGTATCTGTTGTCGGTAGGGTAATGGAAAGTGTTGTCTTCTTAGCGTGTCTAGTTCTTTACACTGGATCAGAATGTGAAGTACGGTGAGCGATTCTCCACATTTCATATGTGGGGTTTAACGTCCCAAAACCACCGTATGATTATGAGAGACGCCGTAGTGGAGGGCTCCGGAAATTTTGACCACCTGGGGTTCTTTAACGTGCGCCCAAATCCGAGCACACGGGCCTACAGCGTTTCCGCCTCCATCGGAAATGCAGCCGCCGCAGCCGGGATTTGATCCCACGACCTGCGGGTCAGCAGCCGAGTACCTTAGCCACTAGGCCGCAGCGGCAGGGTGAAGCAATTCTCCACATCCATCACACAAAGGTGCATGGCCACCAGACAAAAAAAATGAATGTGTAGTGTAGGTATGTCCTGTTCTTGATGATGTGTGGTGTTTTTTGGTGCAAGGTCCATTTATTGGCCAAAGAGTGCCAGGTCATAAGAAGACGAGATGCGAATAATTAATGTGTTGGGTGGCTGTATAGGGGCCTTGAAATTCCTCGCACTAAGGTGGGTAAAATATAGAAGTAATAAAACCATCACAGAGACGTGAACTGTATAGTAAGAATGGATGGCGAAAGGCTCTGACAATAAAGCACGGTGTAGGTATTTGACACTAGTACAAGTGCCTCATCTGTGCCCTTGTGTCCAAGGGGTGCGAGGCAGGTGCTTTTTAATGAAGCCACCGCAGCAGCAACCTCTCTTGAGAGGTCGCTCTACACAATGCCTTGGTAAATTACATTAAAATTGCGGACATCTCTTAAAAAAGCCAACACAGATTCATGAATGAAAAGTGGTTCCCTACAGACAAACATAGCCGGGTGAAGTTGTATCTGTTGTCGGTAGGGTAATCAAAAGTGTTGTTTTTTTTTTAGAGTGCCTAAGTGTTCACAATAGATTAAAATGTGAAGCACTGTTAGTGCTTCACCACATCTGTCGCACAATGATGGATCCCCACCGGACAAAAGGTATGAGTGTGTCATGTATGTGTGCCCTATCCTGAGTTTTGTTAGCGTTACCTCTTTACGACGCGATTTCGATACTGGCTACCAATTACCTAGGTGTGGCTAAATAACATGTCGTTTGTTTTGTGCGCGCCTATACCACTTGCTCTGCCAGTAATCCCCGAGCTTCCGTTTGAGAGACGGTTTAAGGTCAAGGGCCGGGATCGATATAGGTGTAGTGGCAGTGCTTTCGTGGACAGATGCAGCAAGCTGATCCGCCATCACGTTGCCTTGGATCTCACGGTGCCCTGGCACCCAGCACACTACGACATGTTGTTTGAGTGTGCATAAAATAGAGTTAAGTGAGATGAGGACAGGGTTCTTTGTTTTTTAAGAGTTTGCAGAGCTTTCACCACACTGAGAGAGTCCGTGTAAATAACTACTTTTTGTAACTGTAATTGTTTATTGTGTTTAGTGCCGTAGGTATCGCGCAAGCTTCTGCTGTGAATATACTTGTATCTGGATGCAGAGGGCCAGCTTCCGAAAAGGATGGCCCGACAGCAGCATAGGACTCGAAAGAGTTCGACTTGGAGGCATCTGTAAAAAAACTCTGGACACATGTATTTGTGTTGAAGTTCCAGGAAGTATGTGCGGATGTGGGCAATGAACGCGTGTTTTGTAACTTCTAGAAAAGACACTTCGCAATCTAGAATCTGCCACTGGCCACAATGGCAGGTATGCCGCAGGAGCCATTGAGCTGTGTTCAAATGAAACACCAGTCTCCTCAGCGAGACCGTTCAGGCGAACTGAAAAGGGCTGCCTCACCCAAGGTCTGTTTTGAAACAAAGTGGAGCTCGACAATTCAATAATAGTGGAATATGAGGGGTGCTTCTTGTCTGCGTTCACCTTGATGAAATATACAAAGGACATGCAAGTTCTCTGCAGGTGAAGCGACCACTCATTTGACTTGACGTAGAGGCTTTCTATGGGGCTGGTACGAGAAGCGCCCATAGAAAGGCGGATGTCCAAATGGTGGACAGGGCCAGGCATTTACAAGGCACTTGGAGCTGCAGACTGATATATGATCACCCCATAATCTAAACGTGTGCATATAAGGCTTTTATGGAGATTCATCAGCCATTTTCTATCACTGCCCCATGATGTCCGTGACAAAACCTTTATGACATTCATTGCTTTCAGGCCCTTGTTTTTGAAATGCTTAATGTGAAGTATGAATGTTAGTTTCTTGTCTAAAATAATGCCTAAAAATTTTTGCTCAGACTTCACTGGTAGCCTCTGACCGTGCGGTCAATATCCGAATCTGGATGGAGACCTCTTTTTCTTGAGAATAAAACGCAGGAGCTCTTTTGTGAGTTAACCGTGAAACCGTCCTCGTCAGCTCACTTATTTACCTTATTCAAACAAAGTTGAACTTGCCGCTTGCACATTGCGAGGTTGCATTATTTGTAGGCTATCTATACGTCGTCTATGTATATGCAATAAAACATGCTTCGTGTAATACAGGTATGTAAGCTATTCATTTTTATAATAAAAAGTGTGCAACTCAGCACACCACCTTGCAGCACTCCCGTTTCCTATATGAAAGTTCGAGACAAGACATTCCCCACTTGGACACAGAAAGTGCAATTGGACAGATATCTTTCAATTATGTTCAGCATATTACCTCGGATACCTAAGTGCGAGAGGTCTCGCAATATCCCAAAGTGCCATGTGGTGTCATAGGCTTTTTCCATATCGAGAAAGACCGATAGGAAAAATTTCTTACGGAGGAAAGCATATTAGATCTGTGCCTCGATACGTAACAGGTGGTCAATGGTAGATCTGCCTTCTCGAAACCCGCATTGATATGAATCAAGTAGGCTGTTAGTTTCAAAGAAGTGCATGACTCGGCGATTTATCATCTTTTCAAAAAGTTTGCATAGGCAGCTTGTCAGTGCGATGGGCCTGTAACTCATAACGGAGGATGGATCCTTGCCTTCTTTCAAAATGGGAATGACAATGGCCTCTTTCCAGCACGAAAAGATGTCACCGGAAAACCAGATGGCATTGTAAAGGTGAAGTAAGGTTTTTTGCGTTTCAAGAGGTAGGTTCTTCAACATTTCATAGACCACACGATCAGATCCAGTGGCAGAATCGCTGCAGCAGGTTAGAGATGCCTGTAGTTCAGCTAAAGAGAAAGGTTGGTTGTATGCCTCGTATTTTGTACATTTGGTATCTAGTTT